GCAGGCCAGAGGATGTTTGCAGCTACTTAGAAACTGGAACATCCCTGCCTGGCTCTGCTGGTGGCCAGAGGACAAGGAGGTGCTGAGTCTTTCACCTTTCACCTGGAGCCCCCCACCCCCACCCCAGAACGGGATGAGTAGGCGGCTGCAGAATCTCCAGGGGGTGGTGGGGTACACTCAGGAGAGCTGGTGCCACCTCCCCCACCTGCTCAGGGGCTCTGCCTGTGGGGTGCTGGGATTGTGTGGGCCAACACCTTCATATCATAGGGTATGGATCCCACCCCCACCCCCACCCAACCAGTGTTTCAGTTCTGACTCTGGGAGAGTTGGGTCAGAAGATGCCGGGAGGCCGGCAGTGGTGGAGATGATGCCGATGCCTGCTAAGAACCACAGCCTAGAGACAGCGTGCCCTGGGAGTGGTTGTTTGCGTGCTTTGCGTTGTTGTTATTGTTGGTTGCCAAGGAAGTCCATGGAAGTCCATGTGCCCCGGTCCTCCCTGGCCCCCGCCCTCCTCAGAGTTTTCTCCATCAGCTAAGGCTGAGGAGGGGGCCCTGCCCTGGGCCAGCGAGCAGTGGTGGGAGTGGGAGGGGCGCCGCCGTCTGACCATGGCTGCCTCCTTTCACCCCGACTTGACTACTATTACCCTCTGTTCTACCACTTGGCCATCTGGAAAATCCTCCCTTGCTTCCTGGGATGTCAGAAGCGTCAAGGACAATGTCTCCGGCCTCAGAACCGCCTGGACCTTTCTCAAATGGTGAGAGACAGCGTGGCTGTGGGTGCCGTCCAGGTGATTCTGACCCCTAGGGACCCCATGTGAGGCAGAACCAAACACAGCCCGGTCTCGTGCCACGCATGCTCGATCTTTGCTATGTTGAAGCCCATCTGTTGCCGCCACGTTGTCTGTCCTTGACGGCCGTCCTCTTTTTCACTGCCCTTGTACTTACCAAACGGGATATCCTTCTCCGGGGACTGCGGACATGTCTGATGTTCCTGAGACCAAGTCTCACCTCCACCCTGGTTTCTCAGGAGCATGCTGGCTGCACTTCTCCCAAGAGGGATTTGTTTGTGTTTCTGGCTGCCCGGGCTTCTTTCAAGATGCTCCCCCCACACCACGCACAATCCCAATGCCTCAGTTCTTCTCCGAGACTCCTGAGTCAGTCTCCAGCTCTCACACGCTCCAGGACAGCCTGGTCCCTTCACATGCTATAAGAAGGGAGGCAGGGCGGCCAGGTGGAAACAGCGAGTGGCTTTTGAGGTGCAGGCGGGGCTCACACTCAGCTACGGCATGGACCGGGGAGCCCGTGCTGGTCCCAAGCCTTCTCCTAGCTCAGCATCCTCCCAGGTAAGGTGGGGCATGCATGCTCCTCCCTGGGCTGGCGGAGAGTCCACGGTATCATCTTGTTCTTGGCTTTTAGGGCCAGGCTCCGCCCACAGGGGGAAACAAACAGAGGGCACCCTAAGAAAGGAGGACTTGCAAGGGGATCAGAAAATACCCCCATGAAGAATGGACTCGTGGGTGCTGGGTGCCAACAGTTTGGGCTTGTCAACCACAGAGAGGTCGTGTGAAATGACCTTTGTCATGCTGCTGTCCAGGTGGTCCCCGGCCCATGGGGACCCCATGTGCCACAGTCGCTAATGGGCAGCGGGGATGTTTCCATGTCTGGTTTTAAGAAGTAGATTGCCTGCCTTTCTTTCTAGTTGCCCCTAACCTGGAAGCTTGCTGAAATGCACCCAGCATCATAGCAACATGCAACACCCCCACACACACCCCCACTGGTCACTGGGTGGGGGCTGGGTGCGAGGCTCCCTGGTCACGGGGAGCCGAGCCTCCCACATGGAAGGTGAGGAGTCTACCTCTGGCCCACCGTGGCCGGCTCCTGATACCCTCTGAGTCCCATTGAGAGTGGGCGTTTTGTTGGGAGGCAGGATGGCAGCCACCTTAAGTCGGCTCAGAGACTGACCTCCACGTTGTGACCGGATGTCGGGGAATGAGGAGGCTTCCACTCCCGTAACCAGGGGCCGTTGCAGAAGCCCACAGGGGGCCAGGTCTAGTCTGTCCGACAGGGTCGCTAGGAGCCAGAATCCGTGGCCGTGAGCTCTGACTGGAAGTGGTACCTGTGGGGCCCAGTGTCTGAACTCAGGGTGGGCCAAGGCTGGCTGCCACCTCTCTTCCTTGGAAGAGGCTGTCTCTGCAGGGGAATCCAGAACACGTCTCCCCCCGCCTTCCTCTGTCTCTGGAGCAGTGGTTCTCAGCCTTCCTAATGCTGAGACCTTTTCCCACAGTTCCTCAGGTGATGGTGACCCCACATGTGGGCGGATACCTGGGCGTGGGCAGACCTGCTGGAGACTGACAGAGGAGCGCTCTCTCGGTTCCTAAGACCAACAGAGATATGGTCTTGGGCGACTCTTTCAGGGTCGTTCGACCCCCACCCCCACCCCAAGGGGTTGCGACCCACAGGTTGAGAACCGCTGCTCTAGAGCGATCCTCTCTGCCTGGAACACTGCTGGGGGCTCAGGAAGCTGGCGAGGCTGTGTGCCTCTTTGAACCCCCAGGACGTCCGAGCCAGCGGGGTGCGGTGAGGGGGCCAGGCACTGTGTTTGCAACAGGGCAGGACAAACAGTACCTGGACCTCCACTTCTTGCTCCCTCCCGGCAGCCAACCCATTGACCACGTGCTCCCCGCGCCCCGTCCCCCCTTCCCCTTCCTGGCCAAGCCGCCCTGCTGCTCAGCTGGGGGATGAGGCAGCGTCTCCTGCAGCCATCGTGTGGTTTCACCCAATGCTGGGGTGAGGATGCTGCAGTGTCCTGGCTGGGCCCCTCAGCAGGACCCATGAGACAAAGCTGAGCAGGGTGGGAGGGGGACTGCGGGGCGGGTTGGGGGGTGGATGGGGGGGTGGCGGGCGAGAGGGCTCTTTCCCACCCAGCACCCAGTGACACCTTGCTTGCCCCTCGCCCGCTGCCAGCTTCTCTGTCTGGCAGCCCCTCTTCCTGGCTGCCTGAGCGAGCAGGCTGCTCCCCGCGCTCCTGGTGATGAGGAAGCAATCTGTGGAATTGGGTTTCCGCCGCTTGGCTGTGGGTGACTCGATGCTATCAGGTTGTTGCATAACCTTTCCCACCGGAAAGCAGGAAGCAGCTTGGTGACCTGAGCCTCCGTCCAGCTCCGGGTGGGGGTAGGGCTGGGAAGGGCAAGGGTGTTTTGAGGTAAGTGGTGAAGGATGACGACCATGGGGCCTTGGCTGTGGGCCCTACCTTGGGAGCTGGACCAGCAGAGGTGGGGGTGGGTGCGGCGGCCGAAGCGCACTTGAGGTTCCTTCCGGAGCTTTGGCTTGGTCAGAATGTCAGGGCCACTCCAGGTCAGCCAGTCCTGGTTCTAGGCAGAGAGAGGCCCAGCTCCAGCTGTCCCGTGTGCTCCCAGCATTCTTGGCAAGGACACCTGTTCGTCGTGGGACAGGCAGGTGGTGGAAGGCATGCTCCTTGGAACGGGCCAGTTCTCCAAGGCTCCGTGGGCCTGCAGGTAGCAGGAATGAGCAAATGTTTGTTCTCCTAAATTGTGGAGAGCGTTACAAACAAACAAAACAATACCCAACCCACCACCAACGAGTTGATTCCAACTCACAGGGGCCACTGGGGCAGGGGAGAGCTGCCCTTGAGGGCTTCTGAGACTGGACCGCTTTTTACTTTTTGGTTGAGGAACCAGTTTCAAAGATTTATTTGGATAAAAAGTCATAAGATAAGCCAAATAAGTAATTAATTATACATTATCTCTCCTGTGTGTGTGTGTGTGTGAGTGTGTGTGTTAAACAGCTTTATGGGCCCTTCATCCACATATCCTACGATTCAACAGTTTATCCATATCAAGAGGAGTTGTACCATCTTTACCACAGTCGATTCTAGAATATTTTCTTTTCCCTCGTACTTGTTGCGATTCGTGTATTTCTTTCCCACCGATTCACCTACTTCTACATGTACAGTTCAGTTAGTGCCGTTAAAACTGTAACTCTTTCTTTTTTACCGTTTGGTTGGCACATATTCCACATATCATACAATTCAATCGTTCAATCCTACCAAGCTGTAGCTCTTTATAAGAGTCGAAAGCCTCTTCTTTCTACTGTTAGGGGTACAATCAGTTGTAGAGAGGACCCTGTTAATGACATCCAAAAGTAGCTAAAATAGAGATGTATATATGCATATGTGTACATATGTGCTTACCTGTGTGTATAGACACATACATACACAGGGATCTGCATGCAGCTAAGAAGGCTGGGCTCCCTGCGTGAGCGGCTAGGTGGCAATTCCTGCTGTTGGCCCGTTGGAAGGTTGGTTGCTCATGGCTTACATTGGGGGGTACTTCCTTGCTTAGGACTTCATGGGCACTCTGTTGGTGCCATGCTGGTTTCGTGTGGGCTGCAACCTTGCCACGCAACCGTGCAATCCAAGGTCAGCAGCTTGAAATCACCAATTGCTCCGAGGGAGAAAGGTGAACCGACCTGCTTCCATGAGGACTTAACGTCTCGGAAAACCACGGGAGCAGCTCTCCCCCCCTCTAGGGTCACTATGGGTCCGACTCTACTCCACGGCGGTAGAGGTTGGCCCTTTAGGGTTTCAATCTTTGGTAACTCTCCTCACACCCCTATGACAGAAGCGTGGCCATTTCCCCCTTTACAGATGAGGAGACTGAGGCCAACAGGAGTTAAGGATTCTGCTCAAGGCTACCTGTTCAAAAGTGGTGCTGGGATTAGAACTCAAATCTATCTATTGGCCTGTTACCCTGCCATTGCTTCTCAAAGTCTGCCCCCACCCCACCCTTGGCCTCACCTCGAAGCCAGCATCCCACCTAGAGTCCATGCTAGTAAGTCTGGGTGGAACAAGAACTCTGGCTTTGAGATATATCTTCTTGGCGTCTGCTCTGCAGGGAGCAGCCTGTGGCCTCTGTCTTGGCCACTTGACCTTTGTGACTCAGAAAAGCATGGCGGCTGGATCTTTCCAGAGAAAGCCCGCTACTCCTGAGCGTAGGCAGCCAGCCTTCCCCCACCCTGCCCATCTCTGTGCATCATGGGATGCCAGTCCACTTCCGTAGCTCAGGAAGAACAAGTAAGCAGACTCATGAATCATGGTCTGTTTTGTGTTTTGGTTACTGAGGCTAAATATTTATTGCTGTAAGTAAGAGGGTTCTGTCTTAATTAGACTCACAAGTACATACAAATGCCTTCTCCCAGCCGTAAGCTGGGCATCTCTCACCAGAAGGCCCAAACACAATGGCCACCTGTGACGTGGCTGTCTGCTCCCCTGAAGATGGCCACCTTGGACACTGGACGTTCTGCCCCATTGGGTGGATCTGAGTTGGATCTGACTCAATGACAGTACTTCCATTTGTTTGTTTAAGGTTAGGCTAACACAGCAGATAGCTCCCAGAATTGAAAATCGCATCCAGGTGCAATTTAAGGGCTGATCTATTGTTCCTGCCTGCCGATTGTAATGTACGGTCCCAAGGATGGTCCTAGGCAGAAAGACATTACGTGTGGGTGGTATAAGACCAGTGATTTGAAGCCTTGTCAGCCCGGAAAACCCTCTGGGCACCTTCTCCTCTATCACTGGGGTGGGGTGGGGTGGGGGTGCGGGTACCATGCATCGGAATCGACCTGACAGCGCCCAAGAACAATAACAACCGCGACATTTCCTTTTTTATTTATTGGTTTGTTTTTTCCTATGAAAGCCCACGTATTTCTCACTTTGGTCAGAGGCCGGGGGGTGTGA